TAAGACAATCATTATGATTAAATGGCCTAATACATGTAAAACCCTTACAGCCGTGCTTTGCATACAGTAAATACTTAATATATGCTTGCCATTAATCATCATCATTATTCAAATTACTGAATAGGTCTTATTGTAAGTAACAAGATAGAAAGCCTCCAACAAAAGTGATCATTGGAAACAGCCTTCTAAAATGGGAGGAAATAACAACAACAACAAACTCCCCCTAAAAGATTTGATTTTCCATATGGTCCTTCAAGTGCCTATAAAATAATTTGTCTAATACTGTTTGGCATACATTCCAGTCTTGCTCCATTATTACTTTGAGAGGTACTGAAGATTTGACTCAACTTCCACTTGTTTAAATCTGTTTAAGGGAAAAAATTGCTGGCAAAAATTTTTCCTCTTTTAATGAAAAGCTGTATTCGTTGTGCCTGGAAATAAGAGAGTACCTCAGCAATTTTTATTTATTGAGATAAAATTCACGTAAAATAAAACTAACCATTTAAGGTGTATAATTCAGTGGCATTTAGCACATTCACAATGTTGTGCAACCATCACCTCTGTCTATTCCAATACATTTTTATCACCCCAAAAGGAAACCTGATACCCATTAAGCAATCACTCCCCAGACCCTGGAAACCACCAATCTGCTTTCTGTCTCTATAGATTTGCCTTTTCTGGACATTTCATATAAAGGGAATACATAATACAATATGTGACCTTTTGTGACTGGCTTCTTTCACTTAGCATATAGTGTTTCAGAAGTTCATCCGTGTTGTAGCATGTGTATCATTCATTTTTATGGCTGAATAAAATTCCATTGTACGCATACACCACAATTTGTTTATCCACTCATCAGTTGATGGACATTTGTGTTGTTTCCACTTTTTAGCTATTGTGAATGTGCTGCTATGAACATTTGTATAAAAGTTTTTGTTCAAATACCTTTTTTCAATTCTTTCGAGTATATACCTAGGAGTGGAATTTCTAGATAATATGGTAATTCTACTATTAACTTTTTGAGGAACTACCAAACTGTTTTCCTCAGTGAGTACACCATCTTATACCCCCACCAGCAATGTAAGAGGTTTCCAATTTCTCCATATCCTCACAAAAACTGGTTATTTTCCTTTCTTTTTTTAATTATAGCCATCCTAGTAGGTGTGAAGTAGTATCTTATTGTAGTTTTTAATTGCATTTCCCTAATGACTAATGAC